AATTGGGGAGGGATATTTTTTCCACTAAAGCTTGTGCGTTTGCAGGCAAGGACAGCCCGTGTACTCCATCCCTCCCGGTGGCTTTCGGCACCCCTACCCTGCCCTCGCCATGAACGCCTCCATGTCCAGGTGGGTCTTGGCAGGGACGAGGGACCCTCCTTGGGCATCCCGCAGCTGGCAGCAGGTTTTTGGCCGCTTCCCTGAGGACGATGCGGGACTCATCCCCGCAGCAGCACCGGAAAAAAAAGCTGGGCACAGCCCGCGCTGCGCGGGCACAGACCAGCCCCAGGAGGTTGCGGTGGCCGCCTCGGCCGAAAATGCCCCTGGGAGGGTGCAGATGACCCCCAGATGCGATTCTGTGGGGGAAAAGCAACGCCCCATGGGCTCAGGGCATCGCTTAGGTTGGGTCCGTGTTACCATCCTGCAAGCTGGGGCAGGATCCAGCGTAAAACCAGACCCCATCTGGGTTGGGGCTGGTGGTCTCTTAACCCAGGAGGTTCTCAGGAGGGTTTGGGGTGGAAACCAGGGGCTGTCGGTGCCTGTGGGGAGCTGACGAGCCCTCCCCGCTGCTCTCGCCGCTGCAGTTTGATGTCCAGCCGGTTCTCCCCGCACATGGTCCCACCGCCCACCCACGGGCTGCACCCCTCGGGCATCCCACACCCAACCATCGTCTCGCCCATCGTGAAGCAGGAGCCCAGCCAGCCCAGCGTCAGCCCGGGAGGCAACTCGTGAGTCGGGGACGGGGTGGGACGGCCCCAGGGACGGGAGCTCATCCCCAGGGCGTCAGCAGGTCCTGACTCACCGTCCTTCTCGTTGCAGGAAATCCCCCGTCACTGTGAAGAAGGAGGAGGAGAAGAAACCCCACATCAAGAGCTCAACGCCTTCATGTTGTACATGAAGGAGATGAGGGCCAAGGTGGTGGCTGAGTGCACGCTGAAGGAGAGTGCAGCCATCAACCAGATCCTGGGCAGACGGGTACGGGCATCTTCCTCGGCACCAGCTTTGCGCCCACACGCTGCCCGTTTGCGACCTTAAAACAGCTTTCAGCCCCCTTTACTCCACGTCTCCCCATGGCTCGATCCCTTGTCCTGGGGTATCGCCAGCCCAGGAGGTCCCAGGGAACTGGTGGGGACCTGAGTGACAACGGGATGGCAGCGTGCCGGGGCTGGCTGGGAGGCCTGCAGCCCCAGGGCAGCGTGGCGTCGGGGTTCGCAGCGG